CTTCCAAGGAGCATTCCAGCTACACTTCTTCCAGGACAGATTTGTTAGTTCTGGCAGTCCATGGTACTTTCAGTATTCCTTGTCAACACCACAACTCAATAGCATCAACTCTTCTTTGGACTCCCTTATTCATTGTCCAGCTTTCACAAGCATATGAGGTGATTGAAAATACCATGGCTTGGGTTAGGCACACCTTAGCCTTCAAAGAGACATCTTAGCTCTTCAGCACTTTAAAGAGGTCTTCTGCAGAGGATTTGCTCAGTGCAATAAGTCGTCTGACTTCTTGACTGCTGCTTCCATTGGTGTGGATTGTGGAACCAAGTAATATGAAATCTTTGAGAACTTCAATCTTCCCTCCAGTTACCCACCACTTGTCTGTTAGTTTGTCATACCGTGGTAGCTTGCGTGTTGCTGTAAGGCTGGAGGCGGTGCCACCTGTGTTTCAAATACCAGCAGGGTCACCCATGGCGGACAGGTTTCAGCGGATCTTCTGACTGAGAAGAAGGAAGGGGCCACCCACTTCTCAAAGAACTGGCCAGTGAAAACCTCATGAACAGCCGTGAAACACTCTCTGAGATAGTGCTGTCCTGCTTGAGGGGCACTAATTATCCAAAAACGCTGAGCTCAGGGAGCGCAAGTCTCAGATGCGGACAACTGAGGCTCGGGTAGGGCGGGGTTTGGTAGCAGCTGCTTCAACGCCGGCCCAGGGCTCTTTGTCCTGCCAGAGCTGGGAGCTGGGCACTCCAGGAAGCCCAGTTATGAGTCAGCCCCGAGTGCCCACAGTCTGCTGGCCACAGGATGGGTGCTGGCCTGTACGCTGCTTCCGCAGCTGTGGGTGGCCCTGGTGATTCAATTTCCTTCTGCGGCCAGAGGGGGCGCCGCCCTGGACTGGGATAAGGGGAAGCTGGGACTAAGGAGGGGCGATGGAGGGACTGTAAGGGGCCCAGTGGCCCGGCTCTACTGAATGCCTAGGTCCCACGGAATAACCCCGGCGGCCCTGAGACTCATCCTGGGAAGGGGGGCCGTGGGTCCCTCCTCAATGCCCCCATCCTTGAAGACAGCATGGGGCACTCTCTCCCAGTGTCCCCCACCTTGTGTGTCGGTCTCCATCGGGGGCTCGCTTTGGCTCTGAGTGGAGACTTCCTACCCCAGGTAGGGGCTGGGGGCAGGGGAGGCTGACCACTCCACTCGGGGAGCTTTAATGTGCAAAAGCGTGGGCAGAAGACCTAGGAAACGCTGTGAGAGGCAATGCTAGGCGGAGGTGCTGGGAGGAAAAGGGCGCTGAGGGGCGGGGCGAGATCTCTCCGGGTCCGCCCCCACCCCGCGCTGCCTTGCTGCTCTAGGGGCGGGGCCTGACTGGGGCGGGGCCGAGGGCGGGGCCCAGAGCGCCTGGGCCGCGCCCGCCCCGCCGAGGTGGAGCCGGGCGGAAGCCGCTGCCTGAGTCGCAGCCTGAGCCACTAGGAGCCAGAGCCTCTCCGGGAGTCCGCCGGGGTCGGAGCCAGAGCCCGAGCGCAGGTTCAGCCAAAGCCGAGCCGAGCTTGCTGCCTGGTCTGGGCCGCTGCGCGGGAGCGGGCCAGAGTGTCAGCCGCGCGGCCTGAGCACTGACGGAGGAGGCAGCGAGCTGCGACCCCCTGGAACCACCCGGCACGGGAGCCCGGATCGCTCCTGACTCCAGGCCTGGTCACGGCCTGAGCACGCAGGAGGTCCCGGCGATGGCAGAATCCCCACCCTAACCGCTTGCCGCCCGGAGAGAAAAAGGAACGATGATTCCGTGTAAGAGCGCAGCGTGGGCATCAGGCGAGAAGAGCGGAGGCTTCCCTTGGTACGGAGCAGAGGTGCCCTCGCCAGGCCGGGCGTGAGCACCTATGAACCTGGTTGGATCTCAGTTCCATCATCTGTCAAAAGGCCAGGACCTTGGGTTTCCCAGTCCGAGCCCGGAGACTATCAGCACAGCACCGGCATCTCGGCTGCCACAGGAAGTGGTGCCCTCACCTGTCAGAGAAGGGCCACTGGGCCCCAGAAACCAGACCCGGCCTGGCCCGCAGCGAGGCGCTCTGGGGCCCCAGAGCACCTCCCTGGCGAGTCGTCCTCCTGCCCCGGCCCCACCAGTGCGGATGTGCCGCCGCTGTCCCCTGGAGCACCATGACGACAGGATGACCTCAGCGGAGGCAGCGGCAGGGGTTGGCGGTGCCCGGGAGACTGGGTCCCCTGAGTGGCCCCCTGGCAGCCCCCAGGCCCTCAGGCGGCCTGGCAGGGCCCAGGTGGCCATGGCCGCGCTGGTGTGGCTACTGGCAGGAGCCAGTATGTCAAGCCTCAACAAGTGGATCTTCACGGTGCATGGCTTCGGGCGTCCCTTACTGCTCTCGGCACTGCACATGCTGGCAGCGGCCTTGGCATGCCACTGGGGGGCACAACGCCCCTTGCCTGGCCGCGCCCGATGCCGAGTGCTGCTGCTCAGCCTCACCTTGGGCACCTCCATGGCCTGCGGCAATGTGGGCCTGAGCGCTGTACCCCTGGACCTGGCACAGCTGGCCACCACCATCACACCCCTCTTCACCCTGGCGCTCTCTGCACTGCTGCTGGGGCGTCGTCACCACCCCTTGCAGTTTGCGGCCATGGGCCCGCTCTGCCTGGGGGCTGCCTGCGGTCTGGCCGGAGAGCTCCGAGCACCCCCGGCTGGCTGTGGCTTCCTGCTGGCGGCCACCTGCCTTCGAGGCCTCAAGTCCATTCAGCAGAGTGAGTGCCTGGGTCACTGGCTAGGGAGCTGGGGCGGGCTGGGTGCATGGCTTGGATGGCCCTGTGAAAGCTATGGCAGTTACCCCATTTTACAGATGAGGAAACCAAGGCTTATGGTTTAGGAAGAGACAGGAACTGAAGCTCAGAGTGTTCCAGGCCCTAAACCTGGGGCCCCAAACCAACCAACCAACCCATTGCCATGTAATGACCCTACAGAGCTATAGCTCTGCCCCCATAGGGTTTCTTTAGGGAAGCAGGCTGCCACATCTTTCTCCTGTGGAGCAGCTGGTGGGTTTGAACCACTGAACCCCTGATATTTTGTTAGCAGCTGAGCACTTTTAACTACTACGTCACCAAGGCTCCTTCTGGAAATCCAACCAGTATTTAATAATAGTTATCAGATCTGTGTCCCATGATTTGTCAAGCCATGATAAAGCTCTCATCGGATCCCCACACTGTGCCTTGATTGAGGCCCATGTCATATTGTCCCCATGTCACAGAGAGTTGAAGAGGCTTGCCTTGAGCCATGTGGCTAGTGAGCAGCAGAGACAAGACTTGAACCCAGGCACTTGGACACCATGCAGTCCAAGTGATGAGTTGTAAGACTGTGGGACCCAGAGGGAGGCCTGGGCATGGACCAGGGAGAGAGTAAGAAGGCAGGGCTTTGGAAGGCAAGTGGTTTGGCTGGTGTTCATTGGGAGCCTATAGCATGACAGACCCGGTGCTGGGTGTTGACCTTGAGTTTTCATGAACTTCATCTCCATTTTACAAATAGAACTGAGACCCAGACAGGTCTCGTGATTTCCCACGGCCACATGGCTCCTTGGGACTCAAAGCCTGCTCTGCCCAACTCTGGAGCCTGGCTCTGATGACAGGGACAGGTGAGGGTCTGGCTGAGTTCCAGGCTTCCAAAAACCAAACCAAACTCATTGGCATCAAGTCGATTCCAACTCATAGCGACCCCCACTGCATTTCCAAAGTGGTATATCGTGTATGGAAGTAGATTGTCCCATAGTCTCTATATGAAGTGGCTGGTGGGTTTGAACCGCCAACCTTCTGGTTAGCAGTCAAATGCCATAGGCACTGCGCTACCAGAGCTCCTTGGGTTCCAGGCTTAAACCCTGCTAAATCCCTCAGCCTAAGGGTAGGGGCTGCCCTTCCTGTCCTTTTGAGGGATATCTCAGTCCCAGCCCAACCATCCTGTCTCTGCCTCAATCCAAAGGAGATGTGGAGGAGGCCTGGGTGCCCACTTGGGGTGGGGAGGGTTGGGTTCCAGCTACACCTTTGCTCAGACTTGTTGGACAAGCTTGGTTAGGTCGGGTCTTGTCCTGGGCCCAGTCTCCCCATCTGTTCAGTGGAGGCAGGTCATTGTTGATGGAGGGGCGTCTTGCTCTCCCTCCCTCCCAGCTCTTAGATCCCGTGACCCACACGTGGGAGAAGGAAATGAGGGCCAAGCTGGGTCAGAGGCAGCCTGTGGCTAAAGCCCTGTCCTGGCATCTTCCGAGCAGGACCCTGAGACCTTGTCCCTGTCCTCCCAGATCCTGAGGCAGGGCCAAAGCCCAGTTCTATTTTTGTCCTCAGGTTACATGAGAGCTAGGGACTGAGCTAGGGCATGAGCTCTAAGCATGAGTCTATGGTGGGAAACCTGACCCAATGGGGCCCTCTGGCCAGGGCTTGAGGCCTACTGATGCCCAGTGTCCCTTGCACAGGGCCCCAGGCAGCCCTGGCTAGCAGGAGGGCTGTGACCACCTACCCCTATGCACATTGGTATAGAGTAACTGGTACCTGGCATTGGGCTCCTTCTTGGTCTCCTCCAGTTTCCTCCTTTTCTCCAAGTCTCAGATGGCCAGCCCTGAGGAGGGTCAGGTATGGTGCCTGGTCCAGGCTGCCATAGGACTCTGCGTCTGAATGCTATATCGTAGCCATTTGGCTACCTGTCTGCCTCCCAAGAGACAGCAGCTCTGAGAGGGCAGGGACTGGCTTTGGGGCATCTCTGAGTCCCCAGCACCCAGCATAAGGCCTGGCAGAGGGCAGATACTCCTTAAATGGTGGCTGTATTAATGACTCTGATAGTGGCTTGGCAGGCTGGCATGGCCACATAACTCAGGCTGCTGAGAAGGGAACTTAGGAGGCTGGAGACCCCACCAACTCAGATGGGAGCCTGGCAGAGATGGGCAGGAACACGCTGCAGCTGAGGGAAGATGCAGGTTTAGGACAAGTGGAGGCTTCTGCAGCCAGAGGCTCTGAAAGAGGCCAAATTCAGACTACAGTAGAAATGACTGATAGCAGCTCCTTTCCTGAGAGTAGACTCCCTGGAGCAGAGGAAGAGTCCAGAGAGAGGAGAGAACAGGCAGCTCTGGGCAGGGCCATCCTTCCTGGGCCAGTAGCAGGCCCAGGGGGACCCTCTGGCAAGAAGGGGTGACACCTCTGCCCAGGAAGAGCTGAGAAGCAGAGTGCCAGCTTGCTTTGTGGAAGGCCTTATTCTCAGCTGTACCTCCCTGCAGCAGAGAGCAACCTGACTTCCCCGATCCTCATCAGAGCTCTCAGGCCAGTAAGGGAGATGTACTCAGAAGGAGAGGTCCCAGTGGCTCATGGGAAGTGCCAGAGCCCAGGTGGGCACGGGTGTGGTTGGGTGTGGCTTCTTCCCACGGAGACCTGAGGAGGCTGCTGCCTGGAGGAGGAGATACGGAGTGATAACAATAACGATAACACAGTAACAGTGCCAAACACCAAGCCCTCACTGTGTGCCCACACCACGTCCAGCTCTTCCTAAGGAGAGAGAGCCAAGGGCATTCTGGGCACAGGAGGCAGGCTATGCCAGGGCACAGGGAGCAGTATGGTGGATTGTTAACAGCTGCTGGAGTAAGCAGTACCTCAGGGCAGTAGGCCCTGTTTTCAGTACCTCCATTGCCTCTGTAATGAAGGTTTTTGTCACTCTCCTCATTTTATGCACGGGAGACTAGAGCCTGGGCAGATGGGACCTTGCCTGATATCAACATGGCTAATGGAGGAACAGAGAGGTGATAAGCCAGTAGCAAAGGAAAGAGAGTCAAGAGAAGGGGGCAGCTGTCTGTCTGCGTGTGGCAGGATCTTTGGCACACTGAGATGCTGAAACAAGTAGAGGACAACAGGCTGGTGCTTCGGGCCTGGAGTGGGGGTGAATGGCCCCTGACAGAGGACCACCTTTCCCTAGGCTGCAGGGAGCGAAGCGGAGGGTTGGGTGGGAGGCAGAGGAGGCTGCCAGGGCCTGGGTGGCGAGATGAGGTCCCCCCCCTGCCTGGCTGCCCTGTAGAAAGTGAGAGTCACCAAAGGTGAAGTTCATCCGAAAACACAAATGCCTTCCTGCAATTGGTCTTTCAACACGCAGGCCACGGGCAGCTCGTAAGGGCACTAAATTTGGAAGTGAGTGAGCAGGAGGCGTTCCAATTATCTCTTCCTTTCTAGAAATGCTTGAGCCTGAGGGACGGTTGCCTAGAGAACAAAGCCAAAACAGAAGAATGAAACCGAGAAAGAAAGAAAATTTCCTATTCTAAGCATAGCCTATGAGTAAGCACCCTTGTGGCTGTTTGGAATGTGTGTGTCAGAAGATGCTGAGAGTCTGCCCTGGGAGGAGGCCTGTATCAGTTACTCATCACTCGCCACTAAAACTTGGAGGGGGTCCAAAACCATCATTGCAAATACCAACTTCTCACCTGGGCTCTGTTTGCCTGCTGATGGAGGCTGTTTCCTTTTTGAACTGGCCACGTGATTGCACGCGCATACACACGTGTACACACATGCACACACATGCACACACTTGCACATATGCAAGATGGTAGGTAGGATCCTCTCTTTCCTTACAAAGCTAAAGGGTTTCCTCTTAGTGCTGGATGTATCTTGGCAAGCTTCGGTGTTGATGGCAGAAGATGCTGATAACAGAACCAACGAGTGAGAGCCAGGCCCAAACAATGGCCTGCTTGTTCCCTTGTCACCCCAATGGTCATAAGTAAATGAAGCAATGGATGGACTCACCATTTTGGCTCGAACAATTTATTCTTTTAAAACGCTCTTTCATTTTCATTGAAAGGTCACATGGCCAGTAAGTGGCAGTGCTGGTCCTCTCTGCCGGCCTGTCCTTGCTGTGGTGCTGGGAGCTGGGGTGTGGAGTCCTGATGGACGTGAAAAGGGCTCAGGCCAAGAAAGGTGGATCGGGGCCAGTTGGTGCCAGACCTTGAAAGCTGGCCTGAGAACCAGCATGTTTTTCTGCAGGGCCTGGGGAACCCCTGGGGAGCTCTGGTGGCGTAGTGGGTAAGGCATTTGGCTCTTAATCAGAAGGTCAGTGGTTCAAGCCCACCAGCTGGTCCACAGGAGGAAGGTGAGACAATCTAATTAAGATTTGCAGCTTCAGAAATGGTGGTGATGGGGCATCAGCTATGAGTTAGAATTGACTCGATGGCAGTGGGTTTTTGTTTTGTTTGAGGGGGAGCCTTTGAAGGTTTTTTAACAGGGGAAGGTGCTGTGGGCAGGCTATTGCCCCATCCTGTGAGGTGGTTTGAAGTGGGTGCTAACAGGCTGACTTAACTATTTAGTTACTTAGTGATTACACTTACTAAGCATTTACCTTGTTAAGGCCCTAGGTGGTGCACACGTTTAAGAGCTCTCTGCTAACTGAAAGGTTGGAGGGTCACATACACTCAGGTGCCTCTGAAGCCAGGGCTGGTGATCTACTTCCAAAAACTCAGCCACTGAAAATCCTGTGGAGCACAGTTGTTCTTCTTTTTTGATTTTTGTTGTGATTTGGGTGAGAGTTCACAGAGCAAATTCGTTTTTCATCCAGCAGTTCAGACACATTTTGTTTCAAGGCATTGACTTCAATTCCCGACAATGTAACAGCTCTCTTCCTACTTCCTCCCTGTAGTTACCTCTTCCCTGTGTCCTTCCCTCCCATGCAGTCCTGCCCCCTGAGCTATCTCCCTGTGCAAACACTGCCCTTCTGTTCTGCCATGATTGATTACTCCAAGGAGTGTACCTACCTGATGTAAATGTTCACCCCATGTGTCTGTCTATAGCTTGGCTGGAAGCCACAGGAGTGAGTTGGGTTCCAGACCTGAAGGGGAACTAGGGGCCATAGTCTCAGGGCTTTCATCAGGCTCTAACAGACCAGCAAACCTGTTTTTTTTTTTTTTTTTTTTTAATGATTTTTAGTTTTGTTCCGCATTGTTCTCCCACTCTATCCAGGATCTCCTGCACTGATCCCCCTCCGAGTGGTTGACAGTGATAGCCGGGCACCACGTGCAGCACGGTTCTGCTCTGGCTTCCATGACGTTGCCATGAATTGGAATTGACTCAAGGCCACTGTCCATTTTTTGTTTTGTTTTTACCTTGTTAGTAAACCCCTAGGTGAGGCAAACAGTATACGCTCAACGTCTCACCTAAAGGTTGATGGTTCAAAGCCATGGAGCAGTGCTGCAGAAGAAAGTGCGAGTGATCCATTCCCGTAAAGATTATAGTCAAGAACACTCCACAGGGCACTTCTACTCTGTAACACATGGGGTCACAATGAATTGGAGTCAATTCATTGTCAACAGGTTGAGGGTATTTTTGGTTGCCTTGTTAAGGGCTTTATGTTTGTTATCTTTTTCAGTGTTTATAACAATCCTATGCATTAGGATCTTTTTCTCCCTAAATGTATTTATTTTGTTGAGAATATACACAGCAAAACATATTCCAGTTCCACAGTTTCCAGGTGCAGTTCAGTGACATTGATGACATTCTTACAGTTGTGCAACCGTTCTTCCTCTCCCTTTCTGAGCTGTTCCTCCCTCATTAACATAAATTTGCCTTAAAAAAAAAAAACCCACTGCCATCAAGTCAATTCCGACTCATAGCAACCCCCACTGGGTTTCCGAGGCGGTAAATCTTTACGGAAGTAGACTGCCCAGTCTTCTTTCCATAGAGCAGCTGGTGGGTTTGAACTACCAACCTTCTGGTTAGCAGTCAGATGCCTTAGGCAGAGCTCTGCTGAAAGCCAAGCTTCCTGCCATTGAGTTAATTCCAGCGCATCACAACCCTCATTGGGTGTCCGAGGCTATAAATCTTTGCGGCAGTAGATTGCCCCATCTTCCTTCTGTGGAGTGGCTGGTGGGTTTGAACCACTGACCTACTGGTTAGCAGCCAAATGCCTTATCCATGCTGGCACCAGAGCTCCTTGAAGTGGTAGTAGGTCTTATTGTTACCCAGTTGTACAGGTGAGGAAGCTGAGGCTTATAGAGTTAAGTGCCTCACACCAGCCCAGGTCACAGCTAGGACAGAGGGGACACAGGTCACTAACCCAGGGGTCTGATGCCAGGTGTTTAACCATGACGGTGTAGAGCCATAGGCTCAGAGCTGCCTGGAGCAGGGAGCCAGAGGGTCTGGGAGGAAAGACCGTGCAGGTCACCCTTGGCTGCGTTGGGGGAGGTCTTCTCCACAGCGTGCTGATGGCTGCTGTCCTGGTTGCAGGTGCCCTGTTGCAGGAGGAGAGGCTGGACGCGGTGACCCTGTTGTATGCTACCTCGGTGCCCAGCTTCTGCCTGCTGGCGGGTGCAGCCTTGGTGCTGGAGGCCGGCGTGGCCCCGCCACCTGCTCCTGCTGACTCCCTCTGGGCCTGCGTCCTGCTCAGCTGCCTCCTGTCTGTGCTCTACAACCTGGCCAGCTTCTCCCTGCTGGCCCTCACCTCCGCCCTCACCGTCCACGTCCTGGGCAACCTAACTGTCGTGGGCAACCTCATCCTGTCCCGGCTCCTGTTTGGCAGCCAACTCAGCACGCCCAGCTACGTGGGCATTGCACTCACCCTTTCTGGAATGTTCCTTTACCACCACTGCGAGTCCGTGGCCTCCTGGGCTGCTCGCCAGGGGCTGTGGCGGAGGGACCAGCCTGCCAAGGGTCTTTGAGACTTGGTGGAGCTTCTGAACCACCTGTGACAGTGCTGCCCTGAATCCCACTTCGGCCGTTGCTTGCGGGGCAGGCAGCTATAACCAGTGGGGCTCCAGGAGGGTGAGGCACCTTCTGGAAGGGCAGCCTTGGCGGCTGGAAGGGGGACTCCCAGAGACGCCCACTCCCGCCCTGCCTCCCACACCCCATCACAGACCCACTCACCACTGGATGGTGTGTCCACGCCTGGCACGGTTACTGTGCTTGTCAGAGTAATTATTAGAAGTACCAACTACTACACTGAACACTGCTGGCCAAACTTGGAAAACCTTGATGTGTTACGACGATGATGACCGATGATTCTCGACGGTTGCACAATCCCTCCCTGGTCAGGAAGGCAGCTGGGGGCTCCAGGAAGGGCTTCTCTGCTACTGGGCTACCCCCAGGGAGTTGAAGTCTTCTGTGCCAACTCTAGGCAGCTGCTGTGGCCTCATCCTGCCCCCCCCCCCCAATTTTGGGTCTTCCGTCCTCAAATAAACTATTTTTGCTTGTACTCTTGTGTCATTCCTCGGAGGTACAGTCAAGGGAGTAGGGAGAGTGGTGAATCCACCCACCGTGCAGCAACTAGGACATCCTCCCTTGCCCACCACGGCCTGTCCAGGCCCCTGTCCACACACTCCTGTGCTCTCTAAAATATCTCCGTTGGCCTGTCCCTGTTCAAGGGCACCCATGGCCATAGCTCAGGAACAGGGCCTGGAGAGCTGGCCCAGGGGCCTTGCAGGGGAGCCAGGCTCCCATGTAGAGACCCTGGGACAGGAGTTCCAACCCCAGGGCTAGCTCAGCTCCTCTCTCTTCCCAGGACAGACCTCAGCTTTGTCACTTCACCTCTCTCAGCCTTTCCTTAGCCCCATACACACCTAACTCCTTCTCCCAGCTACCTCCCCCCGGAGACTACTTATTAAGGAGGAGTGACAAGGACCCAGCCTGGAGCAGAAAGACCAGGGCCCAATCCTACTCTGCCCATCTCACTGTGTAACTTTGGGCAGGTCTCCTCCCCTCTGTGAGCCTTGATAAAATGGGGATGATAATCCCCTTCCAAGCAACAGTAACAAAAACCAAACCCACTGCCACCGAGTCAGTTCCAACCCATAGTGACCCCATTGGGTTTCCGAGACGGTAAAGCTTTACGGAAGTAGATTGCCCCATCTTCCTTCCATGGAGTGGCTGGTGGGTTTGAACCACCAACCTTCTGGTTAGCAATCAAATGCCTTAAGCACTGTGCCACCAGAGAATCCCCTTGGGGAGGATGAAATGAAGTACTCATTGGGCAGGGCCAGGAGTGGAGAAGAGAATGAACATGCCAGCTGGCTCTGTCCTTTTCTTGGACTAGTCAATCCACCCTCTCTGAGGTTCCAGGTCCATCTGGAAAGTGGGGATGGTCTCCATTTTCTGTGTGAGCCCAGGGTCCTAGACACGGCTGGTGCTGGGGTCTAGGGGTCCTGGGATTCAGGTGGGATCATTCCTTCACATAACTAAATTTCCTATTGGAGTGTTAGTCAGGACTGCATGAAGGGGCAGCCCAAGGCTGGGGGTGGGGCAGTGAGCAGCCTGGGAGATACCCACCCTGGGAGGACAGGCAAAGGGGTTCCTGGCTCCAGCTCTGTCAGCCTGGCCCTGCAGGAGGGGAAGTAAGGCCTGGGTTGAGTCACCCGCCACCGCCCTTGCTGTGACTCAGAGATGCCGCTGGCTCAGCCCTGTGCCTGCGTAGCCTGGGCACCTCCAGGCTCCTCTCTGAGGTTTGGCTGGAGACTCGCTGGTGACTAAGGACCCTTCCCCATTCAACAGGCCCATGTCACAGCTCGGGAGCAGTTCTGTCCCACCCTCACCCCTCCGCCTGGGCCTCATGAATTGTTTGGTAATGGATGAGCCTCCTGTCAGAGCCAAGCCTGCCCGCGGTGGCTGTGGGGACACAGCAGGGAGGACTTGGAACTGTTCCTGACCTTACCAAGTCCCTACCTCAGGACCATCAGGCATTGATTCCCCCAAGGTCACAGCCAAGGTCCTCCCTAGCGTTCCTCCCAGGACTGGACACAGGAAACACTGGACTGGGAGGCAGAGAGCTTGAGTTTGGGTCCTGACCTTTTTCTTGGTGTGACTCAGCCTTACAGTGTCATTGGGAGTGAAGATCACAGGAGTCACCAGGGGAACTTAGCATGTTCCAGGTGGGATGATTCTCACTGAAAGGTTACTGTCCTCAGCTTCGCCTCACCCAGCTCTGTTGCCTCAGGCAAGTCACTTCAACTCGCTGAGCCCCAGTCTTTGCATCCAGCCCCTGCTGGGATGTCTTTTCCTCAGGAGAACAGATGTCACCTTCTCTGCAAAGCTCAGTACCCACCAAGTTGAGTTTGGTGCCCAGCTCAATGCTGCCCTGGCTCCCTGCTTGATCACATCCCACTCCTGGAACTGGATTACTGTCTCTTCACCACTTTGGGCTCCATGAGGGCTCACATGACCGTCCTGCTCACACCACTGCCTCCCACTGTGTCGGGCACAGAGTAGGCAGATGAGAACAGGGCTCTGGAGTCACACCTGGCTTCAAATTCTGACTCTGGGATTTGATCTTGGCCAAGGGTCTCCCTCCCGTGCCTCTGTGTGCTGAGTGAGGGCAGCATAGGACCCAATCCGTCTGCTTAGGGAGGCTGCAGTGGGCAAACGCTTGGAAAGTGTTTAGCAATAGTTCCTCAAACATACTGGGTCCTCAGACTTTAGCAAATGGATTTTCATCCCAGACGCCTCATAGTGCCTCCCCCAAGGCTTGCTATGTTATCCTTTCTAGCCCCCCACAGTCTTTCACTGCATGTCCAGGGGCCCCAGGGCATGCTGCTTTTGGGGCAGAACAGGGTGGATGTCCCTAACTTCCTGCCTCATTGCTCTGCCTTGGAGGAAGTCGAGGAAACTGGATGTGCACTGGACATTCTCCCAGTGGCCCTTGGAACAAACTTGCCCCCTTGTCTCATCGCCAGCTGCCGGGATGCCCCACCTTCCCCAGATGGCCCTTGGATTGTCATTCCAGGGGCCAGAGGAAGCAAAGACTCTTCTTGCTCCCTACTCTAGCCCCACATCAGCTTAGGGATGCCAGAAACTCCACTGCTCTTGCCTAGTTGCAAATGGCTCCTGGAAACCACACAAAATACTTAACTGAGAGCAATGGGGAGCCATGGAAGGCTTTGAGCAGGGAAGAGTCATGATCTGATGTTCATGAACATTTTTGGATAAATGGGCCTTCCATTTGGTCTGGGTCCTATGTGGAGAAGAAGTTGGAGGGGCTGGGGACAGGAGGCAGGGAGACCAGGGAGGAGCTGTTGTGGTGGTCCAGATGAGTCAATGGCAGCCTGAACTAGGTGGTGGCAGTGGGGACAGTGTGTTGGGCACAGTGCTGGAGCAGAGTAGGCATCAGTTGTATTCATTTGAGGGTGGCAAGTGATTCCAAAATATTATGGCCTAAAGCACCAACCATGTATCGTCTCACATGTGGATCAGGATTTTGTGAGTGGCTTAGTGGACTGATTTTTGTCTCCCTCACATTGCAGTCAAGATGTTGGTCAGGGCTACAGTTATACGAAAGCTTGACTGGGGCTAGAGGATGTGCTCCCAAGATGAGTCACCCACATGGCTGTTGGCGAGAGGCTCAGTTCCCTGCCACATGGGCCTCTCCAGCTTGAGTGACCTCATGCTATGATAGTTGGTTTCCACCAGAATGACTGATCCAAGAGAAGAAGAAGCCACAATCATCCTTTTTGACCTAATCTCATAAATCACATGCTATTATTTTGCAATAACTAATTAGTTACACAGGTCAACCGTATTCAGGGTGGTCCCTCCCACTGACTTCACAAGGGCATGAGTACCAGGAACAGGGGATCATTGAGACCATCTTTGAGGCTAGCTATCACATAAGTGAATGTTTGTTGAGTGAGGATACAGCTTGAGGCTGTAAGAAATTAGTCTGGGAGCTTCCTGCTGTGGGTCACAGCTTGTCAACCACACCTCTGCATCTTCCCTAACTGATGCTGCACAATCCATGCCCACAGCAGGCACTGAGGGATTGTTTACTCAGTGAGAGAGTCGAAGGCTGTCTTCTTTTCCTTCCATCGCAGACAGGAGAAGGCCTGGGTTCCTTGGTCTGGCATTTGAGGCCTTGGGTGCTCTGGTGTCTCCAAGCCCACTCAAACTCCCCCAACCCATCCAATTATATGGAGTTGCTTCTGCTCCCAATGTTTGCTGGAGTCTTCTGCCCCCTCCTGATTTCATTAGCCCTCACATGCCCTACCCTTCCCTAAGCACTGCCAGAACCCCTCTGGCTTAGCAGTACCCGCTTCCTGGATTGGGCATTTCTCTTTATATGTTTAAACTTTCTTTGGTGGAGGAACCCTTGTCCATGCCATCT